TTCTTTATTTTGATGAGTAGGTTTGTTAACTTCCTTTGTGGTTACCTTAAAATTTACCCTTATCTTCCCAGATTTGAACCAGTCTATTATTACTTGAAATCGCTTTGCCTTCCTCTCCATTAGAAGGCTCTATACCTACACTGTTTAGTCCCTCTTTTATTGTTCTGATGTTGTTGTCATTTACAGATTAATCTCTCTCATTCCCTGTTGTAATTCTTTTGGTTTTGCATAGTCCTTAAGAGTTCATTTCTAGGTTGGTATCTGGCTAGTACAATCTTGTGTCCTGTATTCAGCCTGTGGTCTGATGTTGTTTGTTCTCAGATCAAAGGACTTCCTTTACTAAGTCTTGTAAGTTTGGTTTGTTTTTTACATAGTCCCTGGATTTCTGTTTATCTGGAAATGACCTAATTTCACCATCATATTTGAACGAGAGTTTTGCAGGGTATATTATTCTTGGCTGGCAATTTCTTTCAAGGTTTTATGTATGTCATCCTATTGCCTTCTTGCCTGCATGGTTTCTGCCGAATAATCTGAGCTTAGTCTTATTGTTTCTCCTCTGTATGTGACTTTTTGTTTTTCTCGAGCTGCTCTCAGTATTCTTTTTTTGTCTTTGGTTTTATCGAGTGTCATTATGATATGCCTTGGTGATTTTCTTTCGGGGTCTATCCTGTATGGGGTTTGTTGAGCTTCTTGGATGGTCAGCTTTTCATCTTTCATGATATTGGGGAGGTTTCCTGTCAGCAATTCTTCAATGATTCTCTGTGTTTTCTGTTTTCTCCCCCTGTTCTGGAACTCCAATCACTCGCAGATTTTTGCTTTTGACTGTATCCCACATAATTCTCAGGGTTTCTTCATTTTTCTTCGTTCTTTTTTCTGATTTTTCCTCAAACAGAGTTGTATCCAAGTGTTTGTCTTCAATTTCGCTGATCCTATCTTCCATCGTTTCAACCCTGCTCCTCAGCCCTTCTATGACATTGTCCATTCCTGAAATCTTGTTGTTTATCTTTTGGATTTCTAATTGTTGTTTTTGTATAATTTCTAGTTGTGAATTTATGTTAGCATTTTGTTCCTGTATTATTTTCTTGAATTATTCCATTTTTTTGTCTGTATTTTCCATGAGTTTGTCTGCTTTTTCCATGAATTTGCCTATTTTTTCCTCATTTTTGTAACTTTTTGCTTCAACTCTTGGATAATTATGAATATTAGAGATTTGAATTCCTTATCAGTTAGGTCTAGTGCCTTTTCTTCTACTGGAAAGTCATCTACTGTTTTATGTTGGAGACCTACTGGAACCATCCTGTCCTGTTTTTATAAATGTTTTGATATTGTCTGCTGTCTTTGGGGCATTCAGTGGTTATTTTCCTCATTTATCCATTGTAGATTTGTTTGTTTTGTCCTGTTTTTTTGTTTTGTTTGGTTATGTCTGAGCAGGCGGGCTGTGTGTTCTTTGTTGCTTGCTTGTCTGTGGACACGATACTTTTCACCTCCTTCTGGGTCAGTCACTCAGGTATAGTACAGCAGGGCAGGTCCAGCTGAAGGGGAGTTGCTGGGATGGGTTGTTTGTGGCACATACCAGGGCTGACAGTGCGGACTGGGAATCAGTACAAGGCAGGTTCCAGTAGGCCATGCCTGTGCTGCTTGGGAGTGTGATGTTCAGCGCACAGTGCAGGTAGGCAGGAAGGAGGGGGTAGATTGTGATGCATGGAGCTAAGATGGGTATGGGAAAGATGAGAGAAAGGAGAGAGGAACAGGAGCCAAAAACATACACACAAACAAAGAACAGTGCTAAGGGAGCTTGCTATTGGAGTGGAGAGATGAGAGATTGAGAAATGGGGAAAAACAAAAATGAAAAAAAAAAAAAGAATAAATCAAGAAACTGGAAATGAAGAAAGTCGAAAAGGAATAAGGGAGAGAAGAAAACAAAACAAAGAAACAAGAAAAAAGAAATGCCCCCAGGAATGTCCCTGTGCATCTGTGCAGAATAAGGGAGTAGCTTCCAAGCCATGCAGTGCTTTCCAAGCCGAGAAAATAAAAAGAAAACAAACAAAGAAATCAAAACAGAACAAATCAGAGAAAAGAAGCAAAAAATCAAAAAAGCCCCAGGGGTCCCACCAATGTGGCGGCATGGGCCAGGGAGCAGTTTCACAGGTGGTTTCATAGGTGGTTTCACAGGTGGTTTTATAGGTGGTGAGAGGTAAGAAAGAAATCTAAAGAAGCAGAAAAAACCAACACCAGCAGCCAACAAAAGGTGCTCAGGGAGCCAGCCAGTGCGGGCGGGTGGAATCCCAGTGACACAGAGTGAAGCTGGTGCTTCCCGGCCAAGAGACTGTGGCTGCAGGAAGCAGAGAGGCCAAGTGGGGGTGAAGAAGGATGGGGGTTGGGAAAGCCTATATCGCTGGATACTGGTTGTTCTGTCTCCTGCCAGAAGCTCCGTGAAGCTATTTTCTCATACCCCCTGTTTGCTGATCTCCGATAGGAGTCCAAGATGGCGGATCCTTCCTGCAATAGCTGATAGGGGACCTCTGCATTTATCTCTCGTCACTCTCTGTTCTCAGTCGTTTCTTACTCCATTTGGTGCTTGGCTGAGTTCTTTATCTCTTCATTTGATTCTTAGGGTTTCAGGACTGACTTGTGACTCTGTTTGACAGTTTTTCTGATCTTTGCTGTGGAGGGACGGTGTGGTGCTTCTGACTATAGCACCATGTTGCCCAGAAGTCGAGATATTTTATTTTTAAAGAAAAGTGTATGCTATTTAAATAATAATGGTGGATAAAAGATGCTCTGTTTCTCATTTTTCATTTTATTAATGATTTTTTAAGATATTATAGCAGCCTCCCAAGCATTATGTGCTTTTATTTTTTGGAATGAAACATCAGTAGTGGCAGGCAAAAGAAATGCACTACAGAATATATTGGAAGTTCCATTTAAGCACAGGTAATTTACTCTCTGTGTCTACTTAATATTAAATGATAAATCAGGTCATACTAGAAAAACAAAAGGATTCAAGAGAAGTCATTTTTCCCTATTAATAAAGTTAAAAACTTATAATTTTAATAGGCTTTTATCTCTGAAAAGAAAAATCTAGCATGGATCTGTCTCTAGGAAGAAGATAAATTGATCTCAATTTTAATGTGATATGAAAATAAATTTGTGAGGCATTGGATAAGTTAACATCCTCATTGCTTTCTCTGAGTGTAACTGACCTATCTCTCTGTGTTGTGTGGGACATTAGACATTATCACAGCATGGATGAGTTCAGCCACTATGACCTGCTTGATGCCAGCACCCAGAGGAGAGTGGCTGAAGGCCACAAAGCAAGCTTCTGTCTAGAGGACACATCCTGCGACTATGGCTACCACAGGCGATTTGCCTGTACTGCACACACACAGGTAAGTTGGCACCCTGAAATCAAGAGCCCACAGTCTTCAGAGAGAAAACAAAGCGGTCAGCTACTTTCTTTCCTCCCGCTTCTCTCATATAAACTGTCTCATTTAGGGGGTCATCTAGTCAAGGCGGAAAATAACTGAGAAAAAGGAAAGTGATGGCTTCATGACCCAAATTACTCTTAAAGTATTTCCAGCTATGCATGTAGCCCCTACTCATGGTCACAGGTCAGTGTGCACCCTCTTTGTCTTCCCTGATGAAAAACGCAGAGTTAATTCTCTGGAGATTGAATGATTTATAACATCTGCACTCGTTCTGTATTCTTTAACTGGGTTGGTGAGTAACTGTAGACAAGATACCTCTGTTTTCTCACCTGAAAAACCTTTCCTTCCTCCACGTATTAAGCTAAAAATAGGATGGTGATTGAGGTTTGCAAAAAGAGAGGGAATAAGGTTTCTTATAAAGCACTTTTAAAAAATTGCCTCTTTTAATCATATATAAATACAAGCAGAAGGACACAATTTCTTCCTCCACGCATACATATTTAAACCTACAGTGTAATTGATGTCAGATGTCATTTGGATGGATTTTTTAAAGTAGTGCTGAACGAAGCAGTTTGTATGTTTTATAATTGGAAAATGTGTGCCAGTTAAAAGCTATGTCAGTATTTCCATAAGAAACCCTAATTTGTGAAAGACATTATAATTTTACCCCAGCCCAAACCTTGGCAAGGAGTAGTGAATGTACATAACCCAGCGCACAAAAGGATCAGCAGCTGGGATCTTGGGAAGCAAATCCCAGGGCTGTGGCAGGAAGCTTTTTGGTGACCTAAACGTTACCATTTCTTTTCTCTCTGAGCTTAGAACATCGTCGCAATTGGAGGGGAAAAGGCTAAATTCCACGTGCCCCTGGGCAGCACTTATTTTTTAAGCAAAAGGAGATGTGAGCCTCCCCACACATTACACATGTGAGCATAGAGAGATTCCCTTTTCATTGGATGATCTCCAAGTCCCATAGCACCCAGGTGTGTAAGGAGACTTGGAGTTTATTCCCCCCATTTAGAAAAAGAGCCACTCTGGACAGCTCACTCTGTGTTGAAATATTTGAATATGGGACTGTAGGTATTTATGGCATTTATTTTTTCCCTGTTACTTGGGGTCACTTCACTTTATTTTATATGGTACCATACTTATTAACAGGGAGCACTGGTGGTGCAGTGGTTAAAGCACTTGGCTGCTAACCAGAAGGTTGGTGGTTCAAACCCACCAGCCGCTCCACTGGAGAAAGATGTGCCAGTCCGCTTTGTAAAGAGTTACAGCCTTGGAAACCCTATGAGGCAGTTCTACTCTGTCCTATAGGGTTGCTATGAGTCAGAATCTATTTGATGCAGTGGATTTGGTTTGATTCTCGTTAACCATCATCTGTATATGTCCTAATTAACTTATACTCACTAGGACTTTTTTTTTTTTTTAACTAAGACTTGCAATATAAGTAATTTATATATTTATCTTTTTTATTAGATCAACGTCTCTTGAACACGGACTTCATTTTAAGGAAAAAAAATTTCTCACAAGTCCCCAGTATTGACTTAAATTAGTTTTATTATAATGTTGCTTAAATGTATTTAGGAGTCCCTGGGTGGTGCAAAAAGTTAAGTGCTCAGGTACTAACCGAGAGGTTAGTGGTTCAAATCCACCCACAGGTGCTTTGGAAGAAAGGCCTGGCAGTCTACTTCTGAATGATCACAGTTATTGAAAACCCTATAGAGCACAGTTTTACTCTGCCGTGAGTCAGAATCAACTCAACAGCAGCTGATTTGGTTTTTGGTTTAAATATATTCCAACATAAAATTAGGTATAACTTCATTATATTTATACTTTTATAATTTATAATTCTTAAGATTCTATATAACAAATTTACATATTAAATATATGCAAAACTAGAAACAAATTGACCTCATTAATTTAATGTGACAGTTATGTTTTACTAAAACCAAATAGCTAATTTAGAAAACCCTAACTCAGGTTCTATATTTAATCTATTTTTATATTTTGATGTTCATAATACTAATACATGAAATGTTTGCTTAATGGCCTTAATAACTCCAGTTCTTTGTTTGCTAGTTCAGATAATTAAAGCTTATACTTAAACTCTGTCAGCTGAGCAATCTTAGAATGCTAGTTTTAGCATTCTTTAAAGCTCTTTCGTTCACTTGAAGAAAAGCACTGTAGCATTGTTTAAACCAGTCTTAAATATATATCTAATCCAATGAATCTCTTACAATGTCATGAGTGTAATAATAATAATTATGATAATAATAATAGCTAACCCTTATTGAGTATGTATTATGTGCCAGAATCAGAATTATGTACTACAATCAGAAGCCAGAAATTATTCATTATGTATTTACCACTAAGCATACTACTAATGAATGATTGCAAGTTGGTGTAGACCAAGGTGGGGATCTAGGCAGTAACCATGGAATATGGTTTTCACTGCTGTGCACAGGCACTTTCAGGTTTGGCCTGTCTGTGCTGTGACAGCACAGTTCTTCCCCCATTCTTCCCAAAGCAAGCTACCGCCAAACCAGCATGGGAGAGCATGCCAAAACGATTATGTCATCTCTTTGGTGACCAAGGTGATTGTAAGTACCAAAGCACTTTGGATGCTAAAATTAAATGGCAGTATTGAGTTAAAATGATTCTTGCTAGTACCTTTTAATTTTTTTGTTATTATTAGAATGAAAACACAACAGTTAAAATTTCTCGTGAAGAATTAATGGAATCAAGAATATATTTACAGACTCCAAGATGAGAAAACTTCTCTAGACTGTACCTTTCTTGAGAGCAAGGAATATATCTTATTGCTATATTCATTGCTGTGTTCTCCTCTCAGCCTGTAGAAGGCACTCCTTTACTTATTGAAGTGAATATCTTAGCAAGTGGCGTGGCATAGCATTCATTCATTAAGGCATACTTTCATTCCTTCAATTCAACAAATGTTTCAGTGACCATGTGAGAGAGAGTATAGTGTGATGGTTAACAACAGGGATTCTGGACCAAATTGCTTAAGCTCAAAACCAGCTCAGCACTTATTATCTCCTTAGGTAAGTTACTTGACCTCATTGTACCTCAGTTTCCTCATCTGTAAAATGGGGATTAATAGCACCTACTTCATGATGTTCTGAGAATTGAACTTACATATGTAATAACATGTTTAAAATTGTTCCTGGCACATTCAAAGATGCAACATAGACTCTACCCTTAGGGAGCTTACAATCTCTAGTTAGATATATTCTTATATAGTGTAATCATAATACCGAGCAGAAATGTATAAAGGCTACAAAAGCTGTACATAAAAAAGTATCGTGGGCATTCAGAATACTGAAAGGTAATTTCTAAGAGGGGAAACTGAGAAGTGTTTCACTGAGGAGAGGACATTTGAGCTAAATTAACTACTAATCAAAAAAACCAAACTTGTTGCAGTCGAGTCGATTCCAACTCAGCGACGCTACAGAACAGAGTAGAACTGCCCCATAAAGTTTCCATGGAGCAGCTGATGGATTCAAACTGCCGACCTTTTGGTTAGCAGCCCAGTGCTTAACCACTGCACCACCAGGACTTTCTTTCTGACCTGATAATATTCTACAATGTTGGTAGAGGCCTATTTTGTCACTTAAGATTGTATTTATCACTGATGATGTTTTACACTATTTAAGAAGTTAGGTATACTACTACTTATATTAGTCCTGAATCTTTTGTAGCTGGAGGCTAAGTAATATATACTTTTCAAGGGAGAGTGATATATACTCAAGACTAGTATGTACTTTTTCAAGAGAGATGCAGTAAAAGAAATTTTATGTCAAACTCTTCTAGTAGTCACTTAAGATTTAATTTGCAAATAATAGTATGTTCTTTAGAATATTCTGACTATATATCATCTTTTAAATTTTTTTATTTTCTTCATTCTAGGGGTTGAGTCCTGGCTGTTACGATACCTATAATGCAGACATAGACTGCCAATGGATTGATATTACGGATGTAAAACCAGGAAACTACATTCTGAAGGTAGTGATCTTTGAAAATATGTATCTGTTATTTATTTAGACTGCAAATCAATAGCCTCCCATCTTCTGGATTCAAATATTAAATAATTATGGTTCTGAAAGCAATTATAAGTCATCTAGAACTACTTCTAAACCAGCCTAGACATATGAAGAAATTTTTTTTATTTTAAAGGGCTTCAGAGAAAAATATATATTCTCCCTCTATATATTCTCTGGAGCCCTGGTGCTACAGTGGTTAAAGCGTTCAGCTGCTAACCAAATGGTCAGCAGTTCAAATCCACCAGCTGCTCCTTGGAAACCCTATGGGGCAGTTCTACTCTGCCCTATAGGGTTGCTATTAGTCAGAATCAACTCGACAGGAACGGGTTTATTTTGTTTTTACGGGATATCTTCTCCAGAGTTTAACTATCTAATTAAACACCCCTTCCCATTTGATTTAGTTGCACCACATTCCCTTTTTCTAGCACTTATGAAAAGAAATAGATTAACCAGTAAATACTGATGAGGAGATTTGAAACATAAATGCTGTTTGCCTTGCCTAGGTCAGTGTGAACCCCAGCTACCTGGTACCTGAGTCGGACTATTCCAACAATGTTGTGCGCTGTGAAGTTCGCTACACAGGGCATCATGCATATGCCTCAGGCTGCACAATTTCACCGTAAGTCCTATTTGCCTAGCTAAGTGATTTCTTCATAAAGAGGGTTAGTCTTCCAAAAGGCATTACACCTGACACGTTTGTTTCCCTTAGTAATTACTGCGCCTTCCTTACAAAATAAACCAAAAGTAGAAAATGGTATAGAGTCTGTGCTGTCACATAATTAAAGCTGATCTTTTTTTGCTAATGCTAGTGAAGCAGAGATGTACTAAGGTTTTTATCATCCTAAATCCTAGTTTTCAAGCCAACACATACACAAAGAACACATTTTTTTTACCCAAAAAGCCTATGGGGAGGGAGGCCCAATATGCAAAATTGCTCAGTATGCAGTGTTGGTGGACTTGTGGGAGACCCAATAGTTGGGTTTCCTGCTTCCCATCCCCATGCCCCAACAGCTGTAGTCCCTGTAGGAGCTCTAAAGAAATTCCTAGGGTACTTTAAAGTACATTTTGAAAATTACTGCCTTTAAAGTATGCAACCAAAGAGATCAGAATCCCTGTTCTTTAGAAATCAAGATTTCATGTATTTGAGTTCTGGAACCATGGGTACTAGGGAAATAACCCTGTAAGGAAGGAAGAGAAGATTCCTTCATAATCTTTCTAGTCCTGAAACCTTTCCTTGAATGAAATCTTAGTAGGAATCACAGCTTATAAAATGTTAAGAAGGGAGGTGCTTTGATGAAAGGAATTAAAGTTGGGTAGGTTTGCCTGTTTGCCACTCTGTCCTACTCTGACCCCTTAAGTGTGCCATTAGAATGATACTGAGCACGTATGCATGTTAACTTTGCTTTGATGTTGGTGAGGCATCAGGGTCTTCAGGTCATGCAGAAAGGTATAGCAGGGCTACACTAGAAATTCATAATTAATGGAAATCTCTCCCTGATACAAAACCAGGAAAATGGTTAGCTGCACATGAACCATACATGAACATCACCTAAACCTGTCTGTACAGGTTTTGCCCTATACCTGGGTTCCTCACCAGGGGAAAGTGGGACTAAAAACAGCCCAAAGCCTTGCACTGTGGCTCAGAGCTGCACTCACTCTGACGAGGCATCCTTTCTTTGTTCACAAGAAGGAGCAGGGCCTGTGCTTTACAAGTGTCATCCCAGCGTATGGAATAGATGAAGCCTATGACAGCAAAAGGGTAACACTGAAAAAAGGCAATCACATGTATTCTTCATGCCCACAACATAGAAAGCCTGGCTGGTTTTATGGCCCACATTGTGTGGAAATGCTCAAACCCCCCAGAACATCAGTGTAATTTAAGCTAAAATAAAATGATTAATTCATTTATTTTAATTTTTATAATCCCTTAATTAATTCACACATTCTCCATAAATTTATTCACTTACGTTCTCACTTATGTGCCATGAGTTTATTGAGGTCCTGAACTAGACCTTAAAGGGTAATGCAAAGATAAATATGACTTTTAGCACCTGGACTGCTCCCTTGTAGCCTTATTATAATAATTCCAATTAATTATTTGTGAATCTCTTTGTTTAATGTTTGTCCCTCCTGCTCCACTCCATGATGGCCAGGAACCAGTCTCTTGCCCACTGCTATATGCCCAGTGCCAGGCACAGATCTGCCACCTTGTAGTTTCTCATTCAACATTTGATTAATTAATGAATTAGCCTCTCTCTCAAGGAATTTGGAATTGAGTAGAGAGCGTGAGAGAAATACACATATAACGGTAATACAGATACAACACGAAAAGTTCAACGAGAGGTAAAATAAAATGCAGTGGGACCAGGAGGATCTCTGCTCTAACAAACTGACTCTCAAGACTGCTGGCCTCTCACTAGGAACAGGTCTGGAGAGTGAAACTCTGTTGTTGCATAGAATGTGTCCTGCTTCCCATCAGTAGACTCCATTGAATTGGATATTGTCAGATATTTAGAACAAATAAAAATCGTTACAGTTCCAGCAATATTACAACTGTACATGAGGGATTCCTGCAACCTGCACCCATGAGACAGTGTGTCTCTGCTGACACGTGGATCAGTCAGCAGCCATGAGTGAATTTAACTTATCAAAACTCAGCAACATCTTGATTATTTGCTGTGGCCATCCCAAAGAGTTGCTTATTTTTACTAGTTGTCATTGACGGTAACTAAACTGGAAGAGTGGCTGAGGTGGAATTTTATAAGCAATACTGATGGGATTAAAATATGAAAAAGTGCAGTTATCCATAGTTGATGATTCAAAATAAAATATTAAGATTATACTAATTCTATGAGTGGGAAATCACAGGATAAGTGCAAAACACTTGACTTGGGGAAAAAGACACAAAAAAACAACAACTCACCTTCAGGAGAATGATTTCTTACTGCTTATATTTTGACTTTCATCTCAGACCTCCCTCACTGAGGCTCAGATTTCAGAGGAAGGAGTGATTGCTTTGGCTTTTAGGATGGCATTTGGATTGGGCCTTGAAGGCTGAGGAGGACTGCAGTAGGGAGAGTTAGAGGGAGGGCTGGCTGGGAGGAGCCAACAGCAGGACAACCCTGTGGCAGGAGGAAAGTGCAGGGCATGCTTGGAAAAGCAAGTCTTCTAGTTTGGCTAAAGAATAAGTTTGGTGGAGTTACGAGTTGGGCAAAAAGGATGGAAAAGTAAATTGAGGTTAGATCAAAGAGAGCATTGCATAGCAAGCTAAAAAAGTTTGAACTTCATTCTGGAGAAGATGGGAGTTTTTTAAGTTTCTTGAGCAGAGGGTGTAACTTGCCTAAAATTGTGTGGTCAGTCTTGGGGCAGCATAAGCAACAGTGTGTGTAATTGCGGTGGTGACATTACTATACTGGTCATAGAGCATCTGTCAGTTTACTAATTATTTTTCATGTCGATCAAATATTTGAGAACATTTAAACCCAATCAGTTGCCATCAAGTCGACTCTGACTCATGACGACCCCATGTGTGTCAGTGTAGAACTGCACTCCATAGGGTTTTCAAGGCTGTGATCTTTCAGAAGCAGATCACCAGGTCTTTCTTTAAGCGTGTCTCTGTGTGGGTTTGAAACTCCAACCTTTCGGTTAGTAGTTGAGTGGTTAACCGTTTGTGCCACCCGGAGAGAGAACATTCAGTTTGTATGTAAAAAACCACCCAGTAAGTAGGTGTGTGCCTTTAATGTATCGTCTCTCCCTCATTTTCCTCATTGTAAACTAAAGATATGTACCAGGTGACATCTGAGGCCCCTTTCAGTTCTAAAATACTACAATTATGTTCTCTTTCTCCTCATAGAATTTGCTGTTTGGAAATTGATGGTTTATGATTTGGACTGAATGCATTCTTACTTCCTTTACATGAGCATCTATAATCACAGGTTGAATACAACGAAATTTGATTTATTATCTTTGGCCCACTTCCTGCCTATGGATAGCAAAAGTTCAAAACTCTGCTGGAAAAGGACTAGCGCAAGATGGTATAGAGCCCATCACCCTGTTGCTTGGTGGACAAGCCACACTGATTCCACAAATGAACTGACCCCGTCAGGGCTGCCAATCCCATAAATCCTGCTTTGCTGTTGATTGTTTCAGAGTTTGTTTCCTTGAACCTAAATGTCAGGACTGTGGGCATCAGACATATACTCTCTGCTATTGGCATAGAGTAACTTTCTTCAAATCATTATTAAAAATAACGGTGGATATTTTCATGAGGCACCTATTGCTTAGATGGAGGGAAATTGTTACATAAAGTTTAAAAAAGGTTATCTTTAAAATTTGTCTGCTGTACTCATTCATAATCTTACCAGGTTAATAATTTTTTTTTTTCCTTAATCTAGGTATTAGAAAGCAAGCCAAAACTCCCAGTGGATGAATCAGTGCCTGGTGTTCTGAAGTGGGAAAAAATAAATTAACTTCAGTAGGATTTATGTATTTGGGAAAAGAGCAGAAAACAACAAAGGGCTTTTTGTTTGGACAGTTTTATAACAAAGCATATAACTGGATTCTGAACATTTAAATCGGCATTATTTGGGAAATTTTTAATACTTATTATTCATATAACTTTGTGAATTAACATAATGTTTCAATTCTGTAGTGGCATACTTGGCTTTTTGAAAGAAATTCCTATCTCTTCTGCTTCTTTTCAAATTATAGTGCAAAAGAGAAAATATTTCATTGAACAAGCCAAAATTATTTGAGTTGAAAATTTTCTAAAGTGCTGACACTTCAGTGAAGCATAATAAAAGCTGGCATACATATGCCCTAGTATAGATTACTTTAGAAATGATGCTCCTACTGTTTAAACATATATGGACACATTTGGTGCTGAAGAAGGAACAAACACATTATCATCAGTGTCACAAAGTATTACTATATAGCAGAGAAATGGCAGTATATGTATTCAGATAGTTACACCCCTATATAAAATTTATGTTTACATTTTTAAATTAGTAGATAAACTCCCTTCTTTCTGTCAAGTGCACAATTTCATTCTAACTTGAGTCAGCTTTTGTTTAGGAATGAATTAAGTAATTGAGCTGCCCAATTCCTGTCTGAATTTTTTGATACTCCCCTCTACTTCTGTTTTTCCTATGGGCAGAGACATTCTTACATTACCATTCTGGGGACTGGTATACGTAGGACACCTGTGTAAATGGGAAGTCATTTTGATGACAGATGTGTGTAGGACAACTGTTTTAATGAGAAGTCATTTTGATGATAGATTTGACATGTCCAGAGATAATATAAATTTAAGCATATTGAAGTATTAATTTAAAAGAAATTTCCTTGCTGACAGAAAAAATCATACAAACATGTCACCCAAGCTGCAACTGTCTCTCAAATACTTCAAAATAATCCATGAAAAAATCTTAGCGTTTTAAATCTTTACACATTTATTTTATGTTCAGCTATTAAAAAGAGAGATGCTAAAGAATTTTAAATTATCCAGAATATATGACATAATATGTGTGCAATAGAGGAACATCATCCTGCATCATTCAGGAATCAATCATACATGATTATTATTTTTTTTGTGAGTGAAATATAGTCCAGATTAGCAAAGCACATAGCATACTTGAGGGGCTGATGAACAGAGAAGAAGAATACTTTCTGCAAAGCCAAGGACTGTGCTGCGTAGTGAGACAGCTGTGATTTTATTTAAACTGTGAAATCATGTGCTACAATAAAATTTAGAGAATTTCTCTTTTTCCTTAAATTCAAAAGGTGGAGAAAGAAATTAAATCACACTTAAAGTTAGTGGTGCTTCAGCTGAAGTTTTTCATACATTAACCAGTATTAAAATCTCAAGAAAGGTATTTCCAGTCCCGGAACGAGTTAGGTAGAATGTTAAAAGTGAGTTGGCATCCCTGTGTAATATGTGATAGAGTTGAAAAGTCAACATCAATTACTAATGATCATTCTGCACTCAGTGGGCACATACCAAGGTAAGAGGGGCTAGAGATGGGCAGTCCTCAAAGGGCAGGTACACACTCTTATCCTTGTCTGCCAGGACACATACCAACTGAGAATACAGACAGCTTGATAGAGACCCAGAACTTTCATAGAACCATCATTTGAGCTATGGAACAACTTCTTTAATGTACTTCCTTGCCTTAAATTGGTTTATAGTTTTAAGATTGTGGAATGAGCCTTTCAAAACTGTTATCTTTTCTAATAGAGGTATTTGAATATACTTTCTAATAGAGGTATTTGAATATACTTGCTTTTGTAAAAAAAACAAAACGAACAAAAACAAAAACTACTGTCAGTATTAATACTGAGCCAGACTGGCATCTTCAGATTTAAGATCTAGTGTTTCATTAAGATTATTACCCTTGTGTTTAAAAACTAACCAATACTGTGGCCTTTGGATACATATAAGAGTCTCATTTATAGTCATGTATTGGGCCTTCTGTCTGTTGATCATCATCATTTGCCAGGCATTGGGACATAAAGAAGACTATGCCTAACCTCAGTAAGCATAAAAAAGCGCCTTCATTATCCATTAGACTCACCTTATTTTAAATAAATTATAAGTACATGTCTATAAAATTTCAATTTTTAGCACTATTGTTTTTCATGAGCATATTTTATTTTAAAAATTAGTTATAAGTTAAATATGACATTCATATATGTGTTACTAATGATTTAAAAGTATTTCCATGTCTGACTTTTAAATATAACACCTACTATTTGGTTGATTTTGGGGAAAAAAAAAGAGGAAGCTAAAGATTCTTATTCCTTATATAAATATTCCTTTCCCCTCCTGTCACTCCTAAACACTTCCAAATAACTTACCAGTATTGATTTAGCACCCAATATTTTTGAACCTTAACAGGTCTACTCCGAATAACCATCAAAATCAAGGGGTTATCAATTAATAAAATAAGGAACATTAACAATTCAGTCTTACCAAGCTCTGAAGACTTTCTTACCAAGTAAGAATAGAAAGTAGAAATGAACAAAAAAATATTAAGTACTGTGAAGAGACTTTTAAAGAGTCTTTAATAAAGGCTATAAGAAAATGGACTAATTCGGAATAATAGTTTTATGAGTCTTTTATATGCCATATTAGTAGTCTCATAATTACTCAGACCACAGTCTGGATTAAAAACTTCTTGACTTTTGAGGCTAGGATTCAGTCCCCCAACAGTAACATTGCACATGTTAATAGACAACTTGCCTATTTCTAGAAAATCTTTATATTTTTACATGAGAATTTTATTAAATGTCTATCATCTAATTATTTGGTAGGAATTATTTGTAATAATGAACATTGTTTTTCTCTTTGAAACCCAACAGAACAATCCCAATATTCAGGTTCTAGAGGAAATGTAGTTCACTAAAATTATCAGGTGTCACTGAGAATCTTTAGCAGATTGGGTGAAAATCTTGAATTCTTCATCAGGAGACATTTTGTTTTAAAAATAGCTTTGTTCTTGTTTTGATATTAATAGTATGATAACTAAAAAATTAGCCCTTTTCCATATTTTTTTTATGTTTAGGATTCACATTTGCAATCAGTATGTTCAGTCATCAAATTAAGTTTTATTCCCAGTTACCTAAAGTCCTGGGCCACTTGTGAACACTTAGAGAATTTCATTTATCATTCGAAAATGGTGCTGAATTATTTCAACTTGAATGTAAAATGTATTAAGTCTTAACTCACGGGATATAAACATTTAATTAATATATAACTGCTTGCTACAAACCAAGTGACATGTCACTGGTATTGTAATGTTTTAAATAAAGTTTTGATTTCTCCCCAATTTTTCAGGAATCCTATTTGTAAAACATTTGTAACATTTTGAAGAGCTCTTATTTTAAATGCCCAGACACTGGCTTTATATTATTCTTTGTACTCTCATATTCTCTTATTATATGTCTATACTATATTTGCAAGATTATATAAAAATGCCTTGAATAAATGATTTCAAGTGTATATAGTGCTTATTTGTCTTTACATATAAATAAATGATCTGAATTTCGTTTTAGATTAGAATACTAAAACCATGTATTGTATATGGTTGGTGCCTTTTGCATTAACAAATTGCTTAATAAGCTCACATGACTTGAAACTTGGCTTTGAAAAATAAATCTAGCTGATGTTTTGAAATAGATACTGTCATACCTGAGTGGACCCTAACTTAGATCACCATTACTAACTACTTGTAAGGAAGCAAAAATCGTGATAGGGTAGTGGGTAAAAGCTACAGCTGCTAACCAAAAGGTTAGCAATTCAAATCCACCAGGCGCAACTTGGAAACCCTATGGGGCAGTTCTGCTCTGTTGTTTAGGGTCACTGTGAGTCAGAGTTGACTGGCAGGCAACGGGTTTGGATTTCTTTGGCTTGTAAGGAAGCAGAGTAGGCATTGTGAGAATAACCACACTCTGCTTTGATTAGGTCGAATAGGGAATATATACTCATTTGAGAGAGCGTTACCATAGTAATCCTTACTTAAATGTGCACCCGAATAGCTGAGAAACTGGTAACCTGGGAGGGCAAACAGGTCCAAAACTGTTGAACTATTCTGGGGGAATGATTTGTAAAACTAATCCACAAAAAACAATTCACCCTTAAGGAGCTCTTGTAGGTAAAAAAAGTTCTTGGCTGGCAATATGCAGATTTAAGTTGTAAAGCATCAGTGATACCTGAAAGCACAAATTTACTGCTGCTCTCGCCTGCTCAAAGCGATGTTATCAGAAATGCTTTGCTTCTTATGCAAAGGATGATTTCCTTTGTCTCATCAGTGATCAGTGTTTCGAACAGTGTTCACTGTTAGCTTCTTACCCAGAGACAGGGAACGGCAGACACTTCTTTTTTGCCAGAAAACTTGACTGCTTTTTTGGTACTCATTTGTTAACATTTCTAATGTTAGCCACATATATTAGTAGAGGATTAACACATGGATTAAATCATTCACTTTCATTATAGTAATTTGCATCTTAACTTTAAACAAAGCCCTTGTATCGTTGTTAGGTACTGGCAAGTTGATTCTGACTCATAGTGACCCTATGCACAACAGAATGAAACACTGCCCAGTCATTCCTCATCCTCACAATCGTTGCTGTTTGAGCCCGTTGTTGCAGCCACTGTGTCAATCCATCTCATTAAGTGTCTTCCTCTTTTTCTCTGACCCTGTACTTTACCAAGCATGATGTCCCTCTCCAGGGACTGATCCCTCCTGATAACATGTCCAAAGTATGTGAGCGAGTCTCACATCTAAGGAGAATTCTGGCTGTACTTCTTCCAAGACACATTTGTTCGTTCTTCCGGCAGTCCATGGTATCTTCAATATTCTTCAACAACGCCATAATTCAAGCACATCAATTCTTCGTCTGTCTTCCTTATTCATTGTCCAGCTTTCGCATGCATATGAGGAAATTACAAATACTATGGCTTGGGTCGGGCACACCTTAGTCCTCAAAGTGACATCTTTGCCTTTCAACACTTTAAAGAAGTCTTTTGCAGCAGATTTGACAATGCAATATGTTGTTTGATTTCTTGACTGCTGCTTCCATGGGCATTGGTTGTGGATCCAAGTAAAATGAAATTCTTGACGACTTCAATCTCTTCTCCATTTATCATGATGTTGCTTATTGGTCCAGTTGTGAGGATTTTTGTTTTCTTTGTGTTAAGGTGTGTCTTAGTCATCTAGTGCTGCTACAACAGAAATACCACAAATGGATGGCTTTA